CCCAGGGTCAGGGAAATATCCCCATGGATAAATTTTAAAGGAAGGCGGGGCATAAGAAGAATAAACGTTGTCACTATACTGTCAATCAGGTTTGTTTAATAGAGTAACAGCAAAGTGAGTAAAAATGGTTACTTAAAACAGTTAGCTTGGTTACTCCAAAATAAATGATAATGCCACTACACATTTGAAAAGCTGTAAGCAATTCTCCTTATAATGTTGACATAACAATAAAACAGACACATTTCTGGTAGCAACAATCACATTGTCAACCTTGCTGCCCTTTCAGATCAAAGATAATTTTCATGTGTTTCCCTGGTTATCTTGTTCAAAGGTTTGAAATTTAATTAATAAAAAAAACAGCAAATACTCAGGAGTGAGTCTTTCCATTTCTAATGTTACATTAAGAACAGTCAACCAGCATTACAAAACAGAAAAGGACTTTTTCCAATAATGAGGCAAAATGGACCACGAGAAAGTAAAAGTATTAAGAAAAATGTATAAAGCATCCTTTCTATCTCACAATGTGTGTTCTTAAGATGATGTTCTGAAACACAGTGGTAAAAATCCGGAAAGAAGCCTATTCAGAGCTATAGAAATAAAACGAGTTGGCAATCCACAGCTCCTTAGGTGATGTCTGCTGGAACAGGGCAGAGAGGTGACCGAGCTTATTTGGAAAGCTGTATGATACTGCCATTTCCAGATCAAACATGCTAACTGTGTAGAAGAGACCCTGGAAGCCATCACAATTCCTAAAAAGAATGAGCACAGCCCGGCTTTGGTCTGAGTGGAATTAATGAAACACCTGAGGAGAGATTACAGCTTCTTGGGGAGAATGTCTGCATCTATGGGAAAAGACTGGACCACACATCTTTGGATTCAATAGAGGAAAACTGGCCAGTTGAGAAACTAGAACAGAAGGCTCATGTCTCTATGTCCATCAGGATCCAACTTTCTTCATGGGATATCACAAGAACCTATAGACGAGATCTCCATATGGTTTAAACAAAGACTTCGTTTATACCTACAATGGTTATCGGGTGTTAGTTGACAATTCACAGAGGTACTGAGGCCAAATAGTACTAGAAAAGTCAGATCAAACTGAACCAACTTTGTTTTTCTTTAGAAAATACTCGATGACCTTTAAAATCACACTTTAATTGTTGAGTATTATCAATTTAATGGGGGCTGATGGCAAGTTATGAATAAGCTACAAGGATTTTCTGTATATCGAGTGGTCAGAGAGGTTCAGCTCTATAATCTCAAAAATACTAAGAAAAAAAAAGACGACAGTCACTCAGAATGGAAGTCTCAGAGCCTATATACCTTCTTGCATTAGTTGGGCCTTCAGTCTTTCAAGGTCATGGACTCTAAATTAATACTCACATTTATTAGGTGGAGATGCTTACACATAGTCCTGGGTTTTCTTTCATGAAGAAGAAACTCCCTTAGCTGTCACTCTCTCGGTCTTTAGAAGAGTGACATATTTCACTGGAGTCTGGGAGGGGACTCAGACAAGGAGTGTTCAGGGCGTCTTCTTGGGCTATCAGAGAGCATACAGCCTGTAATCCCGTGCCTTGGGAGGCTGAGGTGAGTGAATTGCATGAGCCCGCAGGTTCGAGACCCACCTGGGCAACATGGCAAGACCTCATCTCTACAATAAGTCAAAAATTAGCCGGGCGTGGTAGCACGTGCCTGTAGTTCCAGCTACTTGGAAGGCTGAGGCGGAAGGGTTGCCAGAGCGCAGCAGGTCGAGGCTGCGGTGGCTGGGAGGGGCCTCTGCACTCCAGTGTGGGCGACAGAGTGAGACTCCAACTCAAAAAAAGAAAAAAGAAAAAAGAAAGAAAGCATACAATAGCCTCTGCTCCTTTAAGCTAAGAGAGGGTATTGCCCATGTTGAAGCTTACTGGGAGCTGGCGGGCAAGTCAGAATACGTCTGGGTTGCAGTGGTCAGAAGCAACATGCTCACTGTGTCAGCTACGTCCTCTGGTATCTGCTGCTACTCATCAGATTGCTATTTTGATCCTCATAGGTTTTACTCTGCTTTATTTCTCAATCAATTAAGAATCAGAGATGGTCATGGGTGCTCCTAGGTAATGCCCTCCAGATGACCACGATAGCAATGGCAAGCTTGAGCCCATAACTGTCTGAGGTGGCAGGAATGTAGTAGCAGTGAACACCGTACAGAACATGGGAAAGTGACAGAGGAACCCTGTAAGAGGCTGACAATCTGCCACCGTGCAGAAGACCACAACGAGGTGGACGGAGCGAAACCGTGCCGTGTTACAGATTATTAATTTTATAAAGATGACACTCCCATGCAAAGTCCAATGATACACAATATCATTTATTTTAGAAGTTATACAATTGTAGCTTAGAAAAAATAATGTCCTAGAAAATGGTTATAAAACATCTTTTTAATACGAGTTTTTAAAAAGAAAACAGCACTAAAAGGCGAATTGAGGGAGCAAGGCTGTGGTCACAACTGTGAACTGTGCTACACCATGTTCTTAGAGTTGTTGTTCAACAACGGCATGTGTCAGTTTTAGCTATCTAACAGGATTTCTTCCCAAGGAAATTTATACACACACGTTTTGTGAATAATAAGGTTTTAAGCAAATATAGGACATGACATTATAACTGGTGTTTTGTTGATATTATTAATATGGTTCTAATCACTTGTTACTACCTGTTTGGACCAAATCATTTTCAATTAAGTCTCACAAATAAAGCTTTAGTGTGTTTCAATTGTTAAAGTGCCCCGACCACTAAAGGTGGTCCTTAGTGGTCTCCCAGCATACAGGATCCAAGTCAGACAGCTGCACTGAAGTCAAGATCACAGCAGGCAACAACCCAGTAGATGTCTACATCTACATGTTAAAGACATGCTTTAGACCAGGGAAACACAGCAAATGCTTTTGCTCAACTTAATGAACTAATCATCAACATCACCTGCATTTACTCCCCGGGTTTTCATTTAGAAGCAAACCTTTTTGACTTGAAGTACAGGAAGCAGAATTATTTTAAATGCATTATCTGAATAATATTGTACCTATTGTATTGCAATCCAGGAAATGAACCCTTCACTTCAAGAATAAGCATTTCACCTGCTTCACTTTCGCTTGTTTTCCTTTAATAACTTGCTAGAGTAAGTCTCATTAATATTTATTCTCTCTTGCAAAATTTACAAATAAATATATAGTATGAAAATGTATTTAACTCATCACAATCAATGTGCCCTCCAGTTCTAACCATAGGGATAGTATTAACTTTTTAATAATCTTTTTGATATAATTACAAAGTTTCAAAAAAATGGGGATTACTAAACAATAAAAGTCTATTCTACGGTTCTCCAAATGTGGAAACTTTTTTGTGACTTAGAAAATACCTCAGTAAATATGTAAAACTTTAAGTTTCCTGTGTTAGAATGAATTAGAAATACTGCAAATATAACCTTTCTTTGCATTATGTGGGGATTTAAATTCAGGTTTGGGTGACCCTTGGGAGAAATGAAGAGTAAAAATTGAAGCTATGACTCAAATGGGAATACTGTCTCTTAAAAGGTAAACTTATAATGCAATAATACACTTCTAATTTCCCACTAATCCTCTTCCTCATTCATTTGCTTAGTGAAAGCTTTTTTGTTTGTTTGTTTGTTTGTTTTTTTATAAGGCTATCCTCTAAAATTCACATAGTGACATGGTGGTCATGCTCCCATGGTGAGGGAAATAATGTGTTTTTTGTGGTTTATGTTTGAACTTTTTCTTGTGTGAGTGTAATAAAAATATGTAGACCATATCTACATGTTTTCATTATATAAACGTAAGGTTTATATAAACGTAAGGTTCTGTAAAATTTAAACTTCAGATAAAAATATTCTAAATATTTCTACGTACATCTGGACTTATACATTAGTTTTCTCAATGTCAACTTCAGCAGAACTGCCAATAATTTTATGTGTGGTTAATCTGGTGGACTTAGCATATTAGTATCATTCTTTGAATAATCTTTATACTTAAAGAAAAAACATAAATTAATTGATAATAATAAGAGTAAAATAAATAGTCTCTTTTGTGCTAAATACTAAGGTAGTTCTGCTAAAATATACATTACACCATAGCCACCCTCAAAACACAGACTATATATTGAATATGCTAATCAATATTCAATGAGATTTTATGTGTACATTCTAATAAGAATTTTAGTATTTCCATGTCTTTGAAATCTTTTGAGATGTCCATATTTATTTAAGAACCTTTCCATTAATACATATTCGTTCTAATGTTTTCCAAGAAACCTCTAAAGCCTTCAATTTTCAGGAATTTGATGAAGTCTATATGGACAACAAAGAAATTCTCAGAAGGTTTTATTCAAAGACAAGCATACGTGTGAAGACTTGTAGATACAATTCCGCTTTCAATTGTCTGTTCAAGGTCATTACTAGTGACAAGAATAATAAGAAAGTTTTCCACTGATCATATGTCATGGAGATAAATAATTTTTAGATGATCAAATATCCCTGAAAAGCTGTTGTTTAAGATGATTAGGGGTGTGAGCCCAAATGATTACCATAGAGACCCTTTGTCAAATAATCCATGAAATAAATGAATAAACAAGCGAGCAAATTACTGATGGGGAACACATCATCAAGTTGGTTCTGAGAGAGACGTGAATTACTCAAGAAACTTAAAAGTATTAGATATTTTTAGACTATGTTCTTCCTAGATTTATAAAAGACCCTATGTACCTTCAGTCCAGAGAGAAAACATTTGCATATCTATGCATAAGAGATAATTCTATTAGTTCATCAGTGTGGGACTGTGGGTATCTTGGTGGGGGGCTTGGATCCTTGAAAAATAATGAATAAAATTACCTCACTAAAGTGAAATGCATTATAAAGATGAACTTATGGATCACACGGTAATATGAAACAACTTTAAGAATCAAGGCTTTAAGTTGTTTAGACAGAATATCAATAGAAACTAGCATCCATCAACTCCTACCTTCTGTGTTCGTCTTGGCTATGGAGACAACAATTCATGGTATTCACCAGAAAGCTAAACAAACGACTGTACAGGGACTTGGCCAAGAGATCGCGGTAAAATTCAGCAATCTGTAGAGTATGTCGTCGTATGATCATATCTCCTAAAATAGAAGAAAGAAGAGAAAGTATAAGAACAAGGGTTTCCCTCACTTAGACGCCAATAAAACCATACACATTCCATTTATTCTCCACACATCCATACAGCAAATGACCTTTAAGAACTACACTGATTCCAGCAAAGGCAGAGGTCGATGTCAGTTATTGCATAAAATATTTCCCTGCAATGGATACCATATGCATTGCAATCTTTTTGGCTACAAATGTTGACCATGGCTTTTGACCTTTCTGTAGGCTGTGTTTGCTCCTCTCAGGGAACCAATTCTTCACAGGGTCCCTCTGGAAAAAATTTCTGAGAACAACTCACTGGTTTGGATGCTGAATTATCATAAGGCATATGGAAACCCGGCCATCTAAATTGGCCATATTTAAAATATTTCTAAAAAACGGCATGACCGAATGGACACGATGGCTCAGCCTGTCATCCCAGCACTTTGGGAGGTTAAGGAGTGCCTGAGTCTGGGGGTTCGAGACCAGCCTGGGCAAGTTGGTGCGACCTCGTCTCTACAATAAATCACAAAAACTAGCCAGGTGTGGAGGCACGTGTCTGCAGTTCTAGCTACTTGGAAGGCTGAGGCAGAAGGATCACCCAAGCTCAGTGGGTCAAAGCTGCAGTGGCCATGAAAGTGCTACTTTACTCCAGCCTGTGCGACAAGAATGAGACTCCAACTTAAAAAAACAGAAACAAAAACAAACAAAAAACCAGCATGATTAACCAAAATATGGCTCTAAAGTTTATAAGTAAAATTGGACTTAAAGGTAGAAATGTATATGTCATTCTCAAAGAGATAGTGATTGAACTCCTGACTGATAAGGTTCTGCAAAGAGAATAAACTAGAGAAGGAACCAAGGAAAACAGACCAAGGGTGATGTGCAGAAGAACCTGCAAGGGTAATGTGGAAATGAATCTGTAACATCACTCTTGAGGGAGGGTTGAATGTGAATGGAAATCTAGACTTCATATGCTACAGCCTTGGCCAAACTGTCCGACCATTGCCTCTCCAGCTGAGCAAGGAGCCAAGAACAGGATGAGGATCATGGGAAATGAGACCTGAGGAATCTTCAGTCAATTAGGGGTACGGGTGAAGGAGAACCCTGCTGTTGACAGTGGCAGGCAATGTGGTCCCAGATCTTCAAGGTCAAGGCCAATCAGGATGAATCCACACAAGGTAGCGGTGAAACAGGTGTAACCATGTATGACTGCAGCACTGAGGTCCCCAGAGTCAACGTGACTGAGGAGTTCTGATGGCTTACCAGTAGGGAAAAAAGGCATGAAGATGAATAACGTATTTGCAGAGCTTTGAAAAACTCAGTTTGGCTGGAGGGAAGGCTGCCGGTAGACAAACGACTAAGGAGAAAGCATGGAAAAAATAGGTGTAGCCAGCATAAAGAACGGCCTCCTAAGCCCTTCTGAAGTGGCTGGCTTTCCTCTCAAGGAGGTGGAGTCTCTTTGAGAGACTGTTAGCCACAAATGGAAGTCATATTTGCATTTCAAGGAAGATTGTTTCCGAATCAGTGTGGAAGGTGGGCAAAATGAGAGGACAGATAAAAAACGAACCGAGAGGCTCTTGCCACAATCCAGGGAAGACGTGAACATTTCAGCAGCATCCACAGAAATGAGGGGAAGGTAGTATGAATGAGAGATATTAAGGGGGCTGAATTGGCATGTATCTGGCCTACACATGGTGGAAGAGGAAGAGAAAGGGGGGTCAAGAATGACTCGGGCAACTGAGTGAATTGGGAGATTCAATGAATTCAGGAATATGGAAGGTGAATTCTGAGATCAGAAATGAGACTGGAATCACAAGCCATATCTCTAAATCCTGCAAGTAGGTCCATGGGGACATTAGGCAAGAAGGGTGGTGGTTTGGAGAAAAAAGATCAGATGGATGGTGTGTCCTCATAGTTACGATAAAGAGGAACGTTGTAAGGCCGTGATTTATGGTGAATAATTGAAGTTCATGTGGGAAAACCACTCTCCTTGTTCGCTGAGCAGAGATGCACGGGGCATAGAGATTAGCCATGTCATCTGGGAGTCAGATAGCGTTCGACTCCAATCCAAACATGCCATTTCCCAGTGATCTGACGTTCAAAGTTATTGAACCTCTTTGAAGCGTAGTTTTCTCCTCTGTTAAAATGGAAATAGCTGTGCCCACCTCATAGTGATTTGTGAGAATTCAAAAACTACAAAATGTACAGGGCTTGGCACGATGCCCGTCAGTTCATAAATGCTCGATAAATGACAGTTGTTATTATGACCGATGGGGGAGAAGGAAAGGTTGATTCTTCATTGAAGAGGGCAGTGTAGCACCGCACATGCTAATGGATCTCGTATTTGAATAAATCCTCTTGGATTGATGATTTTTTTTTAAATGACAGATTAGCCAGATACAGTGACCAGATAGGCAAAACGATCTCTCAAGAGCATAACAAGTCTATAGTATGGTGATATCAAGTGACCAAGCAGGTTCAAAACTCTTTTTTTCATTTGACATGCAACTCGTAAAAACAGTTTCATTAAATGGGGACAGTTAAAGTTGTGTTCAGTCTTTATATTTGATTCCAGATTGCACAAAGATGGATGCCATGTGTATAGAAAAATTTACCTTTAAAATACTGAATGTCAGTCGTTAAGGCAGACGCCAGGTCTTCTGTCGATACTTGCAACATTCCAGCCACTACAATTAAAGCAGCATCATAAACATAAAGTTAGTATACACTTTTGATTCTAAGAACACTGTGCTTTATGCTTATAATTTATACGTTTTATGTAGACACATTAGAAAATGCACGTATTAGAAAAAGAAAGTAACCACTACTGTAATTGCCGAATTTAACTAAAGAAACATCTTAGAGCAATCAAAACGGTAATGAGTTCTTGTGGCTTTGTGCATTAAATCACAGCAGGTTTGTTCCCTCCTTGTCCTCACAGATGGGGTGGACTTACTCCCCCTCCCCCAAATTCCTAGTTAAATCACTTTGATATAGGTGAAGATATTTTGTTTATTGACAATCTGTGGTTTTAAGGTATTTTGAAAAAATCGGGGAGCGACCAACAAGGCAACTTCAAAGAGAGAGATTTTTGGCAAGATCTTTGAAGGGAAGTAATTATATTCTGTTTAAAATGTTTAGCTAATAACATGGCCACAAAATGCACTGGGGGCTGGGGGGTGGGGGAGGGTGAAGAATACTTAGAACAATATAAATAAACGCAAGTATGTGTGGGGAGTCAGTGTGGTTCACGGGATGCCGAGAATGAGCACAGAAAAGTACATCTCGTTACGCATTCCCCGGCACAAGAAAGAACAGAGTGGTCAGCGGACCCCCCTCACGAAATTCTACTCTGGAGAAAGGGGCGGGGGGCTGGTGGGTGATGCCAGCTGGATGCTCGGCACTGTGTCTCCATCTACTGGCCGTGCTGCAAAACTGCACATCGATGAAGTTCATGTCAGAAGGTCGCGGTCCACTGACCTTGTTCCAGAAGCTGGAGGTCAGAGACCAAGGCGGCGTCGGCATCGGTCAGGGCAGTGAACCCAATGTCTCCGAGGTGCAGTATCGCGGCCAGAATCACAAACAGGCTCTCCGCCTCCTCCACATTTTATAAAGAGAGAAAAGGAATCGTTGGCTTAGAAGAAGGATTGAAGGCTCACTTAAAAAAAAAAAATCTCAAAGTAGGTTGCAAAAATGATTCGTGGGGCTGCCCCTTTTCAGATCCCAGATATCCGACGGGATCAGAGAATGCCCAATCCCTCCGTCAGTCAAAAACTCATGATTCCATGCCCGTTTCTGCTACATCGATGTTTCTGCTCCTGAATCATAAGAGAGCAAGGAAGGGAAACTCTGGTACAAATTGATGGCTTCTAGATCATTATCATTACAAAGATGAATGATTGTGTAAGGAAGCCAAGAGGTCAGACTTCACTCCTGTCCTGTCTGGGCTGACGCTGGGTGACCGAAGTAGTCTACTTAGACTTTGCTGTTGGCGTGGCTGCTTCATTTAAGAACTTAGATTATGCTCTTCATTTCCTAACTCTTTTACAAGATATATTAATAGCATGATTACAGAATTTTTGCTTCTGCTGGGAAACCAAAGGAGGCCTAACAAAGCAGCTAGGCCTGGGTTTTAAAAAATGCGAATTGTTTTTCAAGGTATTTTAAGGAAAACTCAGAAAAAAACACACACACACATGTACGCTGGCAAGAGCTTTCGTTAAGCAGAAGGTAGCAGGAAGTAAGAGAATGTTTGCTGAAAGAGAATATCTGAGAATCTGGAGTGCTACAATTAAAAAAAAAATAAATTAGACCTTAAATTTGGTTGTGTACAGTCCTTTTTTTGGGAAAGAATTAAAAATCAAGAAAAAACTGTAAGTTAGACTCTGCTTCTCTAGAATGCCAAATGTTTAGCATGATGATATCAATATTAAAATGGGTTGTGCCCATACAGGGCAAATGACACAGCCTTTTATGTTCAGTCTCTTCCATTGTAATTTAGGATGAAAATTCCTTCCATAACTACAATGGAAGCTGTTCTAAGAACAATACTTACTGACTTTATAAATACACAGTTGGAATAATAGAGTTCTTGAGACTTCCATGAGTTTCCTCCAGATCGTCTAGCTTTCAGGAGAAAATATGATTTGACCAACTTTAAAAATGAGAACAGTATGAAGAGTGATCTCCAAGTAATTTCCAGGGGTAATAATATTCTATGAATGTGACATACTCAAAAATGTTTTAAGTAACTCCCAAATCATAAATTAGTATTTTAAATTTAATTCACTTATGCTTATTAAGTAATAGTTTTTTTTCTAGCCTCTAACTACCTGACAACTTTTTTTCTGTTTTCCTTTTTAACAAACCAGGGTGTCTTCATTTAACATTCTGGTGCCTTGAAAAATGGGTACCTCTGGATCTACAGAGAAGAAGAATTTGTACTATCCTGAAGGACCTTACAATTTAATGAGAAAAAAAAAAAAAGAGCTGTGAAAACTAACTATAATACACATGACAGTGTAGTGAATTCTATGACAGAAGTAAAAATAAACTCCTCCCTGCACAGAGAGGAGTCTGCTGTTTGATGTCTGCCTGTAGTTAGCCACAATCCCCTGCTGTCTTGCTGGACCGACTCCAGTGGCAGGTGACAGGGATGTGGGAGCACCTTCGTGAACAGACTTCTCAGAACCACGGCTGCTTACAAGTTTGGACCCAAGGGCCTCAGCAGTACAGAAATGCCTTCCTAGGAGCCATCTAGCTCTCCAAAGTGGACTGGATTGTCAACACCATTCAAGTCACTCCAAAGGGTCAAGATGAAGGAACTGATTCCACGGTTTTTTGTTGACATGCATATATTTCTTTTACCAAAAAGGTTATCGGATTCTCTATTGGCTACGTTAGTCAGCAGCCAGGTTTCATTTGTTCTGCCTTTGAGAATCAGTCTTGGATTGTCAAAGTCCTGTTTCCAAGCAACTAGCATTTTGGTGGAATGGTTTCCTACCCATGTCTCTCTCCTCACTTCCTATAAGGAAGCAGAAATTTCAGGCAGGGGAGGAAGGAAGAAGAATAAAAAAAATCAAAAAGATACAATGGCAACAAGTACAAAAACAGAACAGTGCGACCGGGTTGGAGCCAGTAAAAGACAGAAATACAAAGAATGGATAATCAGAGAAAAAAGGAACACAATGCCCTATGATTGCACCTTCCTCGAATTCCAGTCTCTGGATGCAGTGAGGGTGAGGTTGAAGCAAAGTGCCCCGGATTCATTCACTTAAGGTGAGTCCCACATCCTTACTCTCCCCTGCATGAACCTTCCCACCCACTCACTACCTGTGAGCCATGACCCTGTGAGCAGGGAAGAACAAAGACCCAAATCAATCAACATATTGGTTTCAGAAAAAAAAGAAGCAGAACAAATTGAAATCTGTGGCTAAATTTGGACTTGTGAACGACCGACACCCCAGAGTTACCCGTGTGATCTACTAATCGTTCACGAGGAGTTGGCCATAAGCCCAAACTCCACCATATTGAATTGGTGGACAAGAAGAAAATCCCTACAGTAAATCGAAATGGGTGGGAATTCTGAGGCCTTTCTTGCATGGCTTGGATCACTTATTTCTTATTCCCTACACTGGTGCTGTTTAATTCAGCAACCACTAACCAACGACATATGCCCATTTAAATTTACATGAATTAAAATAAAGAAATATTAAACCATTTCTTCAGTCTTACTAGCCACACTTCAAGAGCCCCGGAGTCATGCACGGCTAGGAGGACTCTTGTATATGACACAGGTCAAGGATATTTCCATGATCACAGACATTTCTGTTGCACAGACAGCAATCATCTAAAACTTTTAAATTGCGCTTTTCGGTTTCATGATGCTTGCAAGTATATGGTCATTCTTTAAGATTAAAAAATTATACTGTTCCAGAAGAGATCTTAATAAAGTGATTGTATTAATTTTCTTTCTTTCTTTCTTTCTCTCTTTCTTTTTTTTGAGTTGGAGTCTCACTCTGTTGCCCAGGCTGAAGTGCAGTGGCACTCTCACTTGATCTGCTGGGCTCAGGCATTCCTTCCGCTTCAGCTTCCCAAGTGGCTGGAACTGCAGGTGCACACTACCACTCTTGGCTAATTCTTTTTGATTTATTGTAGAGACGAGGTGTCAGTCAGTTGCCCAGGCTAGTCTCGAAGCCCTGGGCTCAGGCAATCCTCTCGCTTCAGCCACCCAAAGTGCAGGGATTACAGGATTATATTAATTTTCAAGTGATTCTTAACATTAAGCAGTTATCTTAGGTCTAGTTGTCTTATGGGATGATCAATATAAAGTTATCAACCCATAATATTCCTTTTGGGAAAGGAAGATTCTTGACCACCCTTTTGGACCTGTACCCTCTTCTTTGTCACCCTGCGTGTCCTGCCTCTGTTGCCTTCCTAGTACCTCTCTTCCCGGATGCTGCTTGTTCCTGTCTACCTCTCCACTAGAACGCACACATGTTGTCTCTGAGGGGCAGGGCCTGGAGCTTATTCTCTTGAATCATCAGAGTTTGCAGCAACATCTGGAATATACCAGTTGCGTGTTTTTGAATGAATAACTCTTATAAATTGGTAGAAGGCTGATTCTTCTCAGCAAAATATTTACGGCATGACTCACCAAGTTGCTGAAGCCTACTACATTCAGGGCTTGTTTCAAAACAGCAAATTTCTCCCTGTTCAGAGAATGCTCCACTGTTGATACATCATCTCGTATGGTCTGGTTCAAATACCTGTTAGGATAGAAAGCACGCAGCATTACGGCTTGGCTTGCAGTCAAGCTTCCGTGGTGAAAAGTCCCTTCTGTCGTATTTGGGCTCGGAAATGATGGCGATCACCTGGACATTGTGTACCCATGTGTTTACAAAGCTTTTGGTAGGCGACAGCACATGATGTTTCAGGAAAGGAAAAGAGCAGTTCTGGTTGTACCAGAACATATTTATACTGTTTACATGGCTCTTGCCTTGGCTGCACTCTTCCTTGGGAAGGGAGAAGGTCACAAGGGATTCATGCACTTCATCTAGAAGTGTGACAGGTCCTGTCATATACTTCATAATACATATATTTGCATGAAAGATGCTCCAAGTATAGTGACTTTTTTTCCTCCTTATCTATATCTTTCAATTATGAGGTGGCTGGCTAAGTCAGTGATGTATATCTTTCCTTCAACAATGTGTATTTATAAAACTGCCGGGCAGAGGCAATACTGAGCAGCTGAGAATATAAAGATAAAGGACTCGACAACAACCCAGTGATGCAGCCAGGGGCAGAGACAAGGGAAGAGACAGCACGGTATGGAAGTAGAAAAAGAGATAGACTCAAGGTTATGTAAGTGTGTAGGAAGGGGACCTCACCCAGAAGCAGACCAGAAGAAGATCCCGTGGAAAAGAGCAAATGGAAAGGAGCGTTTTGGTCCTAGGAGTTGACATGTAAGCATTTGCAAAGTGAACACCAGGATTTCAGGCTGCCCATGAAATAATTAGCAACATGTCCAAAAGCACACAGACGTGGTCAAGCATGGTGTCTACGGGAGACATATATAGTCAGAAACATTGGCACCAAATGTTGATGACGTTGGAGAAATAACCAGTTTTGAGTATCTTGCAAAAAAATTTCAATCATGTCTTGGGCATGCCCCGAGGACCTTGGGACAAGGGTGTGGTGCGGCAAGGTCAGTGTGTAAGAAGGAGCATCCTGGTACCCCAGTGCAAGGTTACCTGGAAAGACATGAGGCAACTAAGGGTAGCAGGTGATCCCATGAGAGACCAGCAGTGGGGGAGAAAAGATGGCAGAATGAAGGGTCAAACTGGGCACAAGAGAGGAGAAAATAAAGGGACCAATTATGCTTCCCAAATTTCTGTCTTGAAAAACAAAGTGCATCTTGGACCCTTCAATCTTAGGGCATTCCCAAGAGGAGGAGCACCTTGTTTGAGAGAAAATGTCCTATATTTTATATGCATCATAATGCATTTAAACTATTTGTTAAAGTTCGGGGTGGGGGTGGTTTCCAAGAAATAATAAATCTAAAGACCCGGAATTCAGAAAAGACTAGAAAACATGGTCTGGAAGTCATCAACACGCAGAGGACTGACACCATGTGAATGGATGAACTCATACAATACGACCCGCTGAAACGTTAGAGCTGAAGAGCAAACCAAGTGTCCTGGAAGGGAGTAGGAATGTTAAAAGAAACCAGAGTAATTAAAACAATTTTGCTGAAGATTGACTGATCGTGACAGCAAAGAGACCATAATAATAAGAAAATTATGTCCTTGACAAGCAAGTGTTGATGAGAATCGTGTGGGAGAAGCAGATTGCAGGTGGTGGTGTAGATGAGGGAGCTGAGGGAACGTCTGTGGCTTCCATCTTGGCTGCAAGGGTAGAGGAAGAACAATCTAGTGGCTGGAGGCAGTGAGAAGTAGAGGAGACTTGCATGCGTAGATGCTGAGATAGAGTCACCTGAAAACTAGATAAGAGATGAAAAGAGTAGGAGTCATGGGGGGGGGTGAAGAAGGAAGAGTTGCCGAGATAGGGAGAGGGTACAGAACCAGAGTTCAGTGGAGAGTTGGCCTCCATGTTGGAGACACCGTTGCTTTTTACAGTGTGCCAGGTAGGGTGACAATTATGGTCCCAAAGGCTGGTACTCTCTCATGGGGGACAAGAACCATTGCCTTTTAGTTTTGGGGTTTTTCTAATCATGGGAGAAAGAGGTTGAGGTTTAGATGGCCAGGCTGCAGTTGGCTTGAGGAACATCATAGGATGCTAAGACATGTGCTGTGGAGAAAAGACACAGTTGTTAACCAGGAAGATGTAGTTAGTCAGCTGAAGCTGTGGCGTGCCCAGGTGGGTGTGGGGACCGGCTAGTGGAGTGGCGTCACCTTCTCTAGGTTCTTCTGATGCCTGATGTGGGATGGGCAAGTCTGGGGTTTGGTGCAGTGGCATAAAAGCAAAAGGCCACAGGTGACAGATCAGTAAGAGACTGGTTTATGATGAACAGGCAGTTATTTTGCCTACAAGGTATAAGATTTCAGTGACGAGGAAGTCTTTATTTATTTATTTTAATTTTTATTGTCAAGATGTGGGGTACATTTCAGGTTTAGGTATACAAACACTGATCTTGCAGGTACCCTTGTTGATGAGGTATGCCCCTCCCTCCGCTAGCAGTTTCCCTCAGCTGCCAATCCCACCCTCCCTCCCCTGACAGTCTCTCACTACTGCCAATTGCTTTCTTATAGCATTATAATCGTTCAAGGTCCACTTATGAGTGAGAACATATGGAACTCTGTTCTTTGTTTTTGTGATAAACCACTGAATATGATCAACTCCAAATCTATCCAAGTTGTTACAAAGTCCATATATTTCTCCTTATTTATGGCTGCATAATGTTCCTTCATGTATATGTACCATATTTTTTTTTATCCAGTCCAGTTTCTAAGTCTTAATGATAAGAACTTGGAACTGCTCTTGATTCTTCTGTTTCTCATCGTAGGTGTCCACGCAGCTTCCTGATGTCATCTTTTCTTTCTCACTTACGAGGGCGAGATCCTCCCAAAACAGTATTATTATTTACAGGGCAAATCCCTTATAGTAGGCTTCTCCCACTAGGTCAGTATTCTAGGAACCCACTGGCATCAGTGTACCAGCTAGCATTGTTGTGAGAGGCCACATTCGGCTTCAGTGAATTTTTTTTTTTTTTTGAGATTATTTTAACATGTTTGTCCATTTCATGATGTTTGATTTATCACCTGTCCACACCTCGCTGAACGTTCAGCAGTTTTTGGCCAAAAACAGCGTGACCCTGACGCTCCACCTTCCCTATTCACCTGATCTCATTTTGAGCAACCTTTTTTCCCCCAGATTCAAAAAAGAAATCCTCAAAGGGAAATGTTTGGCCAGTATAGAAGAGGTGAAACAAAAAATGGCAGAAGCACGAAACAACATCAAAATTGATGAGTTCAGAAACTGAAGAGTGGAAAAAGTGTTCCGATAGGTGTATTGCCTCAAATGGAGAGTACTTTGTAGGTGACTGAAGTTTAAGCATGTAAGAATAAATACGCAATTTTTTATAAATAAATTTTGGGTTTTGGGGGTTCCCCTCCTACTTGAACATCGCATGATTAATAGTCCATTGAGAAGGACCATTTATCGACTCACAAAGAACAATTGGATCCTGTTATTGTTACACAGTCATATATGCAAAAGACCACTGCTCTTTAAAAATCTCTTGAAAAGTATTCAATTTGTAAGCTTCCCCCACAGCCACCTCAAGTATTTCTTTAAACTGCCCAATTCTATGTGACTTTATAGCTTAGAGTTTACAGAAGCTGACCAGCTCCACCAGGAAGCGTGAATACAATAGCATTTTTATTTCAGTTAAATTCTGGGTGGAAGAAGCCATGTGAGCTAATCCTGGTGGCCACAGATGGGCATGTTAAGCCTGAATGGATCCAGTGGGAACCAACTGAAAATAGACAATTTTAAAGGGCAGTTTGTCCAATAGCAGGAAAGATGCCTTCAGATTGGTTATATTTTCCTCAGAAGCCAGAAATTTAGAGACATGAAGATGACCAAAGAAAGAGAATGCAATGTCTTTTACACACATTTTAAGCTTCTTCCATTATTTGGTAGCATACAGAAATACAGAAAAACTGCATCTTGAAATGGGAAAGCCAGTAACAGAACCAAAAAAAAGTTTGTTTTTGGAGGTTAAAAGTACTAATTTTCTATTTGACATCATTCAACTATGAAACCCACGCAAGAGCAGAGAAATACTTGAAAAATATGCCTGGTAAAATACTGAAATTAAGAATCTAAAGACATACTTGAGTACTGTTTTACGTTTCCCCTCTAACAAATTTAAATATTCATTTTATTATCTCTAAAATGGAGCAAAAATAAATTAGAAATACAGTTTTTAAAAATTTGACTTTGCTGGTTCATGATGATTTTGAGAGTGTCAAAGGAGATATTGTGTGTGATATGCTTTCTATGACCAGAATGCAATGTATATATAGAACATGAATTTTCCTGGAAAGGCGTATCTTGCATACATGGCGAATTTTCATTAATGTTCTGCCGTTAATGAAGCAGGTAATCAAATAACTCAGCCAAGTAAAATAAAGAAACCTTTTGAGAAATTATGTCAAATACTATTAGCAATGGAAGATATCATAATCCATAAAATTTGCTTTTCTGGTCTCCTCAGACAAAGAAAAGCAATAAATAGAAAAAGGAAAAGATCACAGTTCACACTGGACTGTTTTATCGTGATGTGAATAACCTGAAAATTGACAATCATGTATGCAGTACTGAAGTGGCATCAGATTTTTTAATACTTTAAAAGAGGTAAGAATGATGGTGGATTATGGGTTATGGACTTCCAGGTGGACTAGATTTAACTTCACTGATGTGATCCTTCTAATCTTGACATAATTGTAGAAAACCACCCAAACAAATCTCAGCAAGTGTTTTTTTCTGACTGAGAGTTTCCAACTTTGTTCCTCTATTAATTAATAGTCTCACAACCCCTAGCATTCACATCTCAGAACGGAATATTCCATACCTTATATATTATTTCTTTATGAGTCAAAATCACGTAACTATAGCATAAATCGGCTTTCTAATCATCTTCTCTTAACTCACATTATATCACCTGGAACAGTGCTATTTGGAAACATATAGATATCTCAATGTTTAGAGTCAGAAATTTCAGAGAGGGTCATTTGTTAGGAAT